CTTTCTCGTTCCCTATATGTCTCTACCCACACACGTTAAATTAATTTTTTTTTGGTGGTATTGTAAGGACTAAAAAAGAAAGAAAAACTCAAATGATGCAATTTTTTAATTATTCTCCACTTCCTCCAAAACAAAAGGCAACAACGCTTTGTCTTTCTCTTCATGTCGTTTTTATTTTCCTGTTGTAAATCAATTGTGTTTCGTTCAATTTATTCAAAACAAAATAATTGCTTGGTTTATTTATTGGTTTTTCTAAAAGAAAAATAAGGGGGGTGTATTGGATTAGGATTTTAAAGAATTTTTTTAGTTAAAAAGAGTCTTGTGAATTTTAAAAGACTTTGCAGGATTTTCATGAATATTAAGATTTTGTAAGATTTCACAAGACTTTCAATCAGGATTTTAATTAATTATGCAAGACTTTTAAGTTAAGATTTTAATGGATTCTACGGGACTTTGTGAACTTTGCAGAATTTCGTAAATTTTTTACATAGGATAAGTATTCAATTTTTTTTTTTCATATATTCAAATTTAAAAAGAGTCAAATATAAAAAAAATAATAATAATGTCTGGATAAATAATAATAATAATAATAATAATCTATAATATCATGTCGTTCTAAATAGAATTCACCCACATATCCATAGTTATACTAGTCATTCAAGCATTAGTATCTTTTCGCTCTTGCTCCTGGGTTTTAATAATAGGTTCAAAATTATGATTTTCATTAACCGGTAATGTTGAAGATGAAGGTTCATCCATCACTCCAATTGAAAATTCATCAGAATGACATTCTTTATGAAGAAAGTTATGTAGTGTCGCACATACTAAAAATTATTCTAAATAACATTTCAAATTTTTATAATTTGTGATTTAAAATATTTTATTTATAATTTTATAAATGATTAAAAAAATAGTGGGACAACTACCCTACTCTCTTATAATTAAATATGTCTCTTAATTTTATATCAGTACTAAAGTAGAAATTTACGAACATCAACTAGAAGAAAAAAAATATTTGAAATTTGTTACATGTACAAAATAATTTTTTTAATTTTTAATTGATTTCAATTATTCACTCGTGAAGAAATATTTTTAATATTGAATTCTAAGATACTGCAATGCCTTATATTAATTTTCTTTTTTAAAATATAAAAAATCTTAATTTCATAATATAAAAATTAAAAAAGATAAAATTCATAATAAAAAAAGAAAAAATAATTGTTGAGTAATACAAGGGGAAGGATAACAATAACAAATTCAAGAGAGGGAGAGAGATCACAGAAACCCTAACTCAAATTCATCTTATATATATATATATATATAATAAATCTAAATTGATTACAAGGTCTTGAAGATCTATAGTTGATTATAGAGATCATGATATCAATTTTAGTTTTCACCTTTTTCTTTTCTTGACACATGTTATAAAAAAAATTACTACTTAAAAGTTGAAATTTCAAGCATTTTCTGCATTATATAACTGAGGAACAATCTCAACTAATAAATAGAGAAAAATATAACAAGTCAATTAAAGAGAACGGAGAGAAAAATAGAGGAAGAAGTTTCACCAAATTAGGAGAATGGAATGAGAACAATAGTACAGTATTATATATGACCAGTAGTGCAGTATTATTAACAAGAGAGAAAAAATGGAGAAGACATGAGCATAGAAGAAAAAAAATGAAAAACTCACTTAGAAATTCTTGAAGCACTTGAAAAGTCACTTCAAACAATCCTCCAAAATCTTATGGGTTTGGATGGGATTGTTTTATGAATTTGGTATTTAAGATACTATTAAAAAGTCCTTCAAAATCCCTCTAATACAACAATCCTTTAAGATCCCTATATTTTTGAATACTAATGGATTATTTTTAAGTTGTAAAAAATCTCAAATGAATACCAATGAATTTTAATAGACTCTTTAAAAAATTTTGAAAATCTTAATTGAATACCACTGGATTATTTTTAAATGACATAAAATCCTGATCGAATACCAACGGACTTTTTTACTCAAAAAAAGTCTTTTAAAATCCTATGAAATCTTAAACCAATACACCCCCTTAAGTGTTTTTTTAGCAAATGTTTTAAACAAGCACTACTTAAAATGATATAAAGGTAATAATTAGAGTTTGGGTTGGCGTTTTTTGTGATTTCTGAAATAATTTTTTTATTATCATTAAAAATCAATAAAAATTGTAAAATTGTACATGCCTCATTCCTTATTTAATAACAAAGTTCATTTATAATTATATTTTAATTAATAAAAGTAAAAATATTATAGAAGAACTAAAGAAATTGTATTAAAGAATAAGTTTGGTAGCACTCGTATATAAAATATTCGCCATTGCATTGCTTATAGCGCACTCCATTTTTTTCCCATCACGTTGCTATCAAAACAAAAAAGCTTTGAAAAGAAACCGTGGCGTAAAAAGATCTGAAAGTGACGGAAACGATTGTTGTAATTGCCAAAATGGCTTGTTTAATAATGGTAATATAATAACATTAATATATAATAGACATATTAATTAGTAGTAAACGCAGCAATGATACTTGTGGAAGAAAAACGATTACCAAAGTCAATATAGAGATGACTGTGTTATAAGTAAGATATTTTTAAACGATTTCATATCTTCTTGTGAGAATACCAAGACAAATTAAGATATTTTCTGATAAAGATGAAATCATCGTTTGAGATAGTTGTTTGAACTTCACGTGTAAATAATCACGCAAGTCATCAAATTTACTTGCAGTGAATAAATAATTTAATGATTAAAAAGTTAAACAGGGAAGACATGGAACTTTACCAAAACAGTACGAACATGGTTCCTTGTATAACCTATTTTATATCCCTTAAATATTTCTTACAAGAAATTTATTTATTTATTTATTTAGGTATTTGTTACAAGAAGCAATTTATATTTTAAATTCACTTATACATTTATTTTTTTAAAACCTTTTTAATTAATTATTAGACCCCTATATATGATACGCATCATACTTATTGCACGTTAGGTTTGGTATATATGATTATTCTATATATGATAGCCTTTTTCATTAAAATATAAAGACTTCTTATTTTTTCTTATTGTTA